AAATACTGTCCCATGAAACATATCATTATGTAGAAGATATGGATAATTCAATGAATCCAAGATTTTCAAATGGGCACTGACTATTGTTGCAGAATTATAAATTAAGGTACAAAACAGGCAAGTGGATTTGGACATACTGCGTGAGGTAGTAACATGGCTTCAGATCCAACCACATTTAAGAGGCATTAATGGTCCTGGTGTTACTAAATACTGACTACTGCTACATGATGCTGTTAAAATACTTCTTGCTCTCTCTCTCTGTAATTGTATAGGGCTGATTCACCTAATTCAACAAAAACAACACAAGAGCCTATGCAAAAGTGAATTTAAGAATGGCACCTTTTATTAAGCTAGACTTGCTTCGTTTTGTTTTTGTTTTTCAAGACAGTGTTTCTGTATTATAGCTCTGGCTGTTCAGGTGGCCTAGAACTCACAGAGATCTGCCATCCTGCCTTCCAGGTGCAGGGATCAAAGGTGTGCGCCATCACACTTGTCCTATTTTGCTAAACTTTAAAAGATATATAAACATACCGAACAATGTCACTGCTATGAACGGAATTGTCTCCTTTCCCAAATGTGTATGTTGGAGCTCTGACTCTCTGTGTGTCTGTGTCAGTGACTGAGCCAGCCTGAGAGTAAGGACCTGAGTCCAGCTGAATGAAGTTCTGTGGTGTGCGGTGTTTTAATCCCACTGGATTATAAAAAGAAAGGGGCAGTCTTTTTCTTATGAATGAATCATGGACTCCTATGTGCATACACACACACACACACACACACACACACACAGATGGACAGATGGACAGACAGATGGTCGGAAAGGCAACATGAGGACAAAAGGGAAGATGGCAGTCCAAGGCCAGGGAATGATTACTTTCAAAACCCAACTAATTATATGCTGGTGCCCTGGGTTTGGGTATTCTAGTCTATGGAATAACAGGGAAATAAGTTTTGTTTTTTGTTTTTTTTTAAATCAGGCATCCAGGTTATGGTATTTGTAAAGCAGCTTGAAATGAACTTAAAAAAGCCAATTTTCACAGATTTTAAGTCTCATACTGTCATCATTGTCACCTAATATTTATTTTTTTCTCTTTTTTATGTATGTGGGTGTTGTGTATGCATGTGTGTACCATGCTGCTGCTGGAAGAGGTCGGCAAAGGGCATTGGATTCCCTGGAACTAGAGTTATAGATGGGTGTGAACTTCTATGTGGGTGCTGGGAATCAACTCTGGTCCTCTAAAAGAGCAGCCAGTGCTCATAACCACTGAGCCAGCCCCCATTTGTTATTTTTCATGAGACACATGTATCAAAAATTTCTTTGAAGTTTATATTATCTAAATACCTATGCATGACCCACATTTAAAAAGTTCTTCATAGCTCTTTAAAAAAAAAAAGTCTCACTATGTAGTTTAGTTTGGCCCCAAACTTTAGATTCTTCTGCCTCTCCTAGGTGCTGGGGATACAGATGATACCGTTATTTTTGGATTTTGTGTAATGTGCTGGGGACAAGGTCCCCTGTGGCCCAGGGTTAACTCAAACTCTTGATCCTCCCGCCTCTGTATCACAGGTGCTGGGATTGGGGTGCTTCTGGCCCACTTACTGGGGTACTGAGAATTGAATCCAGGGCTTTGTGCATGCAAGGCAACACCCTATCAATTATGTGATATCCCCAGTCCCCAGTCTAAGATATGAGTTGAATTTTTTTAAAGCTTTTTATTTCAGGTAGGGGTTGGTTTGTTCGGTTGGTTTTGGAGACTGTATCCCAGGCTAGTCTTGAACTCATGATAGAGGCAAGGATAGCCATGAACTCCTGATCCTCTAGCCACTACCTCCTGTATGTATGGTGAGTGCCACCATACAGAGCACCAGAGACAGAGCACAGGACTTGGTGTAGGCTAAGCAAGCACTCTGTAAATTGAGCTATAACCTCAGCCACCCACAATAATGCATTATTGAATGATAATGCATTTCCTCCTAAAACCTGCAGGAGGAAATGAATGACACCATTTCCTGCTCAAGCCAGAATCAACCACACTATATGAAGAACTCCCGAATCTGCTGTGTACTCATTAAGATAAAGCCTCCCAGCTTAGAAATCGCTAGAGCTTCCTTCTACAGAAAGAAACCTTCTCTGCAGCTCTAAATGTTTACCAAGACCAAGCACAACCGCACAATCCCTGGTTGTCTGAGATGTGTCTGCCCACATCCCATGATGAGATGGGATGTTTTTTACCCAAAGCAAAGTTTAGGTTCCAAGCAAGAAAACAAAACAATATAAAAACAGCTCTCCCTCATGGGCAAGGTGCAGGACTCCCTTTCCTTGTTCAGGCTCAGTTAATTGACGGTCAATCAGCATTGTCCTGGGAGGCTTGACATGTTCTCCACCAAGCAGTCAGAAGCAACTATGCAAGGAACGAAGGGAGAATTGTCTTTACCAAGGCACTGTCTCCATGGCACCCACACAAAGGGAGCGCTACTTGCTCACTCTATACCTATTCCTGGAAACAGCCTCAAAATGGAAATGCAGTGCTACTCTTGGGGCTGTACCAGCAAGCTGGGAAGCCACATGTGCAGCTGGCGCATGACTGGGGAGGAAGGAAGTCTACTATTCTACAGCCAAGCAAAACAGCCTTGCAGCTCCTGTTACCCTGGTCGGCTTTTCCACCCTCAGTGACGCAGAGCCCAGGGGTAAGCTCCGTAAAAGACTTGAGCTTCAAGACCAGTGACTGTTGGAATGCAGTCAGAAACTTGTGGGCCATTCTCCTCTACTGAGTATCTTTCAATTATGAATGAAAAGTTAGTATGGCTATAACCTTGGCAAGAGTGAGGCACCAAATGACTGGGTTGGGAAGGAGCCTCAGGTCCCATTGTGGGGGAAGAATTAGTCGATGCTGAACTACTGTGGGCAGAGCAGAGTTTAGCGTATGGCAGGAGTGAGGGTTGCAGTAGTGATATGTCAAGCATGAATAATGATTGCAAAGCTCATTTGTTCAACAGCTACACAAGTAACGCTTCCACAGAGAGGCTCTTGTCAGTGGCAGGACTAATAGGACACCCAGCAGGCCCAGCTCATGTTTGTGGGGACAGAAGTGGTTTCGAATGAGACTCATTGCTCCTCACTGTCACACCAGACAGACAGAAAGGGGAACCAGGAAAGCCTGTTGTACACTCTGCTGTAGCTATGATGTGGTACCCCCTAATTGCCCATCTGCTAAAGGCTTGGTACTCGGTGGTGGGGTTAGGAGGTACTGTGGACTTACCAAGTAGGGCCTAAGGGTAGGTCTCTGTTCATTGTGGGTACCCCAAAGAGGAATGCAGGAAGCTGGCTCCTTCCAGTCCTCACTCCGAGTTCACAGAGTGAAAGTTTGCTCTCCCACATGCTCTTACAGTGATAGACTCACCAGGGAACTCAGGGAACTGAAGGTATAGACTCACCTGATCTTGAACCAGACTTCCCAGAAGCAAGAAATCTATTTTTCTTTATAATTGTAGCTCATTGCTCATTATCATAACAGGAAGCTTAGTAACACCAGTGCAAAGCCACAGTGTTCTACTTTAAACTGTGGTAAAAGACTTGTATCCAGCCTTAGCCATGTGACCTCTGTTAACTGTCAATAAAAGCACCTATTATTTTTTATCTTGGCTAGTTTTTCTGTCCTCAGAGAAGCACTTAGCTTTTTGGAAATATTTAATATATATACATCTTACATATTACACATAAAGCACACACAAATTTCATTCCGTGTGATGGCAATTAAAAGTAAGTCTGTGAAGGATATTTTGATAGGAACAGTTTTATTCTATTCAGTACAATTAAACAAATATTGAAACCATAACATGCTCAATATCATTCTAGATGCTGAAGGTGGAACAGTAAAACACATGTAAAACATGACATTCCTGTCTTTGTGGGACATTCTTATTCTCCATTCTATCTATCTATCTATCTATCTATCTATCTATCTATCTATCTATCTATCTATCTAAAATGTTAAGTATATTTATGTTAAATCCTATAAGATATACACATATATACACACATATATGTACATATAGGATTTAACATGCCTGAATTAAATGGTTGCATTATTACATTTTGAAATGCCATTTTAGGAGGATTCTTGAGGATTGGTCTAGGTATTTCTAAGGTGGTAAATGAAATAGAGTATTAGTTCTTAGCATTAATAGCCCAATTTAGCACACACGTGCGCGCGCGCACACACACACACATTTATTTATTTATTTATTTATTTATTTCAGGTAAACACTCTCTGAAGGCAGAATGAACTAACTAGTGGGTATAGGGTTTGATTTCAATAAAGTTACCCAAGGAGAGTGTCAGAATTAAAATTCGTCATTGATTTTTGTGAGTGAGTCTTCAGAGGGGTATTATTTTGATATAAATGTTTGGCTAGGTTTTACTACATGTCTAACTTTCAGGTAGATGAAACCACACACTCTGAAACCCCGGAGCTTTGAGTATGTTACCTGTTATAGTCTGCGTATTCAATGGAAACATCAATTTGAGCTAAAAATATATGTGACCCAGGCCTCTGGGGTGCTGCTTCATAAATCACTGCAAATTATGCTGTAGTGTCATGCTCTCAAATTATTTGATCGAGACAGACATAAGAGCGTGGTCAGAATTCCTTATAAGGAATTTAAGCAATAAATTATTTAAATCTTTCGGTATCTCTGTCTAAAGCATGCTTTGGTAATACAGGAAGTCTCATAGCCAGTTTTTGGCAGTGAAGTGTATTGTGAATACATACTAAAAACTTTGGGGAAGAGCAAGGACACTTGATAACATCAAAACCAGGCATCCACATCTGGGCTGCCTCGTGCCGCTGTTTGGTAGCTAACTAGCTTTGAAGAAAAGTCAGGAGTATATAAGAGACACAGAAAAGAAGTTCTGAAAATAATTGTTAGCACTAAAATGTCCATAGCTAATTTTGGAATGCTTATGTTTGTAATGTCTTATGCACAATAACAATGTGTTTCAGGTCTGCGGAGAAAAGCAGCGCTTTGAGAAGTTGATGGAACATTTCAGGAATGAAGATAATAACATAGATTTTATGGTGAGTTTTCTTGGTACTATATTCAACAATGCGAACTCAGTTTCAGCACTTTTTCCTCCAAAATTCGTGCCACATTCAAATGGACACACTACAAAGGACAGTAAGCTGAGTTTAATAATCTGCTATAGAATGTTTGTTTTTTTTTTAATTTGTATGTTCCCTTTTAGTACTCTTTCAAGTTTTACTTGTTTGATTAAAGGACAAAAATGCTGATAATTTAACAAATCAGAGGGAAAGCCATGTAATTGGGAAAAGGAAGTTGGGTCCTGGTATGAATGCCCAAGTTGAGTTGCCAGTAGCACTACACAGCATCCCTTAGCTGGATGGACCTTTGGCTCCATCAGTGCCTTCTCTAGACCACATGCTCACATGCTTCGCTTGGCAGAGCAGACCGTTGGCATCCTTTAGATGGACGCAATGGTGATGGCTCGTCCTGCTTGTGACTTTCTTCCTGCTGTTGCTGTATCAGCAACATGGGAGCTCTGTGGGCCTTTGGAAGGGACCACAGGGCATTTCAGCACTTCTGAATTCCAGCACCTAAGTTTTCATTCTGAGCTCAAGACCCAACTTCTCATGAGCCTTTCTGGGCCATTCCTTCCCAGTGCACCCCTGTCTGCAGGCTTTGCCCTAGTTCAGTTTTGCTAGGAAAGCTCTGGACCCAGGAGTTCCTTCTGTGGATCGCTTAGCTTCTAGAGCAGGCGTACTAACAGTTCTTGCAAGCAAAGCCTGTATTTGACTGTTAAGTCATGTCTTCATTTGAATCACGGCATTGACTATCAGGTGTGAAACACATTAGTGTTTTTGTTTGAAACGTGTTTCTTGGACATCAGATTTATGTAAGTCTTAGCCTCAGCTCCTTTCAAAATCTGGAAGGTAAAAATCCCTTATAGAACTTTTCTGTTCCATTGGATTATTTGGTGTTTACTTTTAAAATTATTATTTTTAATATAAACTGGCAAAGCAAGGGTCACTTTTCCATTGACTATTAAATTCTTGTTATTAGGCTTGGGCGGGGGAACGTTCAGAGTGGTGTGAAGTTGTTGATAGGTGTGTGATGAGCCTGGGACATTGCTTATTGCCAGCTTCTTTTTTACACCTTCTCAAGTGGAGCTTTCTGACAGAGTCTAGGCTGAGGCCAGCCTACACAAGGCATGTGAACTTAATCGGATGATGGCTTCTTCTGTGAAAAATCTGTGGGTATGGTACATGAGAATAGATGGCTGATTTTTTTTTTCTTTTGGTTTTTTGAGACAGAGTTTCTTTGTGTGGCGCCTTGGCTGCTGTCCTGGCCTCACATTTGTAGACCAGGCTGGCCTCAAATTGAGATCCACCTGCCTCTGCCTCTGGGATTAAAGGTGTGTGCCACCACTGCCCGGCTCTGATTACAAAACAAAAACAAAGAACAGAAAGTACCCAACTATTATTAGACCCTCCCCGTTGGCTATTGAAGAATTAGCTACTACAGCCAAGGAGTACCTGCCTCTTTGGTGTTAAAAAATTTCCTCTTAGCCAAGGCTCCTGCATGCCTGTAATCCCAGCACTCTGAAGGAAGAGGCAGGCGGATCTCTGTGAGTTCCAGGCCAGCCTGGTCTACAAAGCAAGTCCAGGACAGCCAGGACTATGCAGAGAAATCCTGTCTCAAAAAACCAAACAACCAAACAAACGAAATTCCTCTTTGCAATGGGTCCACCTCCCACCTCAGTCACATATGACACCTACTGACCTGGCCATGTGAGCTTTTGCGGAAATTATCCTAAGTCTTATGAAATTGTCATAAATTATCTGTTACGATAATTAACGGCCACAGCCTAGACACCATTTCTTGTCATTGTACTTACTCTCATGTCCAGGTTCTAACGGCCTTGTGTTCTAACAGGCCACAGTGTGCAGTGGCTAACATCTGGGTATACTACTGGCTCATAGGCTGTCATGAAACTCAGCAGGTCATTTAGACTTCTTTTCAGAAGAGAAAAGGGAAGATGTCACAGTCTAATTCTATTTTTCTTCAGAAAAATGAGGCTTTTGATAAACTTTCTTGGGAATTCAATTAGATTTCCCATCTTCCAAACAGTATATTCCTCAAATTAAATGATATAAAGACTTTTTCCTGTGGTTTTTTTTTTTAATAGGTAAAAGAACTAAACAAAAAAAAAAAACAAAGAAAAAAACAAAACAAAACAAAAAACCTGACAAGAAAGTTTATTTAACTAGAGAACCTAAAGTAATTTTTCAGAAAATTCCAGGAGGGTCTCTTTTTCACTAAGAGAATTTATGTGTCTTCTAATGCTATTTAGTACATAATTATTCTAGTTCCATATGTCACTGTGATGAAATGACCTAACACAAAGCAACTAGGGAATAAGTGGGTTATTTGGCTTTTAATTCCAGGTTACAAGCTCTCATTGTAGAGATGTCACCACCTGAGAATCATGACAGTGGGCCATGACAATTGAGCAGGAATGAATGCCTGCTTTCTTATTTGCCTGCTTGTTTTCAGATTTATTTCTCTACTCATACACAGTTCAAGACCATTGTCTAGGGGATGGTGCCACCTACAACGGGCTGGATCCTCCCATATCAGTTAAATCAAGACTGTCTCCCACAGCACAGAGGCTGACACAATGTACTTAAAGCTTTCTTAAGACTTTCTTCTTAGGTGATTCTAGATTGTGTCAAGTTGAAAATTAAAATTAAGTATCTTGGTAACATATATTTTAAAGATAATTCAATAAATTACAGAAATAAAAAAGAGAAAAGTACTAGGAGGGCTGGCAGTAAAGCTCAGGGGTAAGGATTTGTCTAATTGCAGTACCTGAGACTGAGTTTGATTGCAAATCCATGGGAGCAAGGGGGTACAGGGTTTGGGGGCTTGTTAAGGAGTTTTCTAAGTGCTCGGAATCCGCATCCCTGATTATGTTTCCTTCTTCCCAAAGACTGCTGTGGCGGGCAGACATGAGTAAGGCATTGTGCATGTCAATAGATGGTCATTGTTGAAAACAGTATGGGTCTGCTGAAGTCCATTCCATTATTTATTAAACTGGGGATTTTTTTTTTTCCTGAGACAGGTCTTTGGGCCAGTCTTTGGGAGAAAGCACTACAAAGCATTTATGAACTAGCAGTTAGGAAATCACATGGAAAGATGTGTGAAGGATTAGTAGCTGTCCTTTGGTAGGAGAGGGCAAAGTGAGTTTTTCGAAGTAATTACTTTGTGGTGAGGTTCTACATTGCTTAAATGTTACTCCTCTTTGTATTAAGCTTCATATTTTACATGATCTGAATCTCTGCAGTAGTTTGTATTTTGCTTTATATACTTGTATGACTTTTTAAGAACAGCTCTCTTGAAATTCGATTAGCATACCATCTCCTTCACCCATGGGAAGTGTACGATTTGGTGTGTGTTAACCATTCACAGTCCAATTATAACTACATTCATCCCGTTAAGCATCTCTCTGCTAAAAGTTGTTTCCCATGTGCTCTGCGCTTCAGGCTTAAGTATCTACTCATCTACTTTTTGTCTCTATAGTTTGGGGTGTTCTGCTTGTTTGGTATGGGTGGAATCACACTGTTTGGTCCCTTTTCACTGGCATTTTTTCACTTACTGTGATGTTCCCAGTTCATCCATGCTGTAACATGCAGTGGTACTTCATTCTACTTTATGTTACAGAATATTCCATCATATGATTATACCTCACTTTTTATTCAAGTGATTGACACTGGGTGTTTTTCCATAGTTGGTTGGCATTATGAATATTTGCATGCAAATTTTCATGTTAAAGTGTTTCTTTGATTCTCTTAGTTCTCTTTATGTGAACGTGCTTACATAAAAATTTGAACAGTTATTCATAATACCATATGTACCAACCAACTACAGAAAAACACCCATGTCCATTCATCACTTGATGAATAAATAAAATGAGGTATAATTATATGATGGCATATTCTGTGGCAATAAAGTAGGTAATTGAGTTGTTAAGCTCCATGGCAAACATGGTGCTTAACATTTTGAATAACTCATGTGTTCATATTGGCTGCATCATTTTACATTCTCACCAGCAATGGGTGAGGGTTGGTTTTCTCTACATCTTTGCCAATATCATATGTATATATTAAATTATAGCCATTCTTAAGTGACTGAATTGCTCTCTTATGGTGCTTGCTAATTTCTTATTCATTCATTTATGCATGCAGAATGCTGCCTGCATGTGTGCATGCACACCAGCAGAGGGCACCAGATCTCACGATAGATGGTTATGAGCCACCATGTGGTTGTTGGGAATCGAACTCAGGACCTTTGGAAGAACGGCCAGCCATCTCTCCAGCCTCCTGTTTAACTTCTTTAATTAAAAATGATGAAAGGGGTTTTTTTTTGTTTTTTTTTTTTTTTTAGTGACATTAAAGAAAAAGGGATTGGTATGAACTGAGACTTGTAGAGTGAATCACATGCTTGAGGGGGAGAAAGCACTTGGAGCCAATTTAATCCTTGGAAACTTTGTTTCAGGTGGCCTCTATGCAGTTCATTAATATTGTAGTCCATTCGGTAGAAGACATGAACTTCAGAGTTCATCTCCAATATGAATTTACCAAATTAGGCCTGGATGAATACTTGGACGTAAGTATAGCTATCTTGTGTGTGTGTGTGTGTGTGTGTGTGTGTGTGTGTGTGTGTGTGTGT